GAAGGTTTTTTCGTTTTCAACCAAAATGAAAATTTTTTTTTTTTTTTTTTTTGCCGGAAAGGGGGGTCAATCCCCTCAACCAAAACCATTGGTAAAAAAACCCCCCCATAAAAGGAAGGGGGGGTTTTTTTTTTTGTTCCCCCGGTTGGGGGGGGGGGGTTTAAAAAAAATTAAAAACCCCCCCCCCAAAATTTTGCCCCCCCCCCCCCCCCCCCCCCCCCCCCGCCCGCCACAGGCTCAAGGGCGAAGTCCACGACTCGGTGGACGGCGGCGCGAACGAGGTGTTCGGCGGAATGGACGGACAAAAGTGTCGGTGTCACTGGGTGTTGCCGCTGCCGGCGCGCTTCCCGGAGGGTGACGCCGCGGCCAGAATATTCGGCTACTGCACCGGCAGGCGCGGTCGAGGCCGCGACGGGGGCGGCCAGACGCGCGCCCTGGCAAGCGGCGGCGGGGACGGTGGCGATGCCAGTGATTTGGGCGACGTGGAGCTGGCGGAGTACGGCGGGTTGATTCCGAGCAGCAGCAGCAGCAGCAGCAGCAGCAACGGGCGCCATCCTGCAGCCGGTGACGGCGGCGGCGGCGGCGGCAAGGGGGACTTGTACGCCACCCCCGAGGCCGAAGCTGGCTTGAGGCACTCGGCGGAGCGGAGCTTGGGGGAGCGAGTGGCGGCGATGCCTGAGGCGGACTGCGGGTCCGAAGGAGAGTTTCGGTAGCTCCGATGAGCCTTCCGCCGTCTCGCGGCAGGCAGGCTGGCAGTTGCTTGGGGGGGTGTATGTTTTGGAAGAGGGTCCCCCGAGGTTTAGACCGTGCGCTATTTTTTGCGGCATTTGAGGCGACGCTTTGTGCCTGCAGAAATGGTGCCTGTGTGCTGGTTTGGTGCTGCTGCGATATGTTGGCGAGCGTTGCGTGGGGCTGACGGGCGAAGGGCCGATCACTGCTAACGATATTCTCTCGTCTTGTGGGCGGACGTTAATTAGTTCCTTCTTCCGTTGGCTGTTGGTTGCCGTTCATGTTTTGTCTCTTTTTATCCCTGCATGAGTTCAATTTTTGTTCCTGTATGAGGTCAAATGAAAAGTCCAGAACGCGCAACCCTGACTGGATAGATACACGAGGAGTCCGCTTTTGGCTTCTACCGTGCGCTGTTTGGCACAATCGAACGCAACGCAAGGCCCACAAACGCACCACACGCGACAGATCAATCCGCGCTTTTGAGCTTTTTTTTTTTTTTGAGCCTGTGTGGTGCGGCGGGCTCTAGAAGTCTCACACCCAGTTTTTTTGTGTCCGGTAAGTAAGGTGTTGCACTTGAAGCAACGGTCGTCGGCGTAGTAACCCCTGTCCAAGTCCTCAAAGGAGATGCTCGCTGGAAAGCGCGATCTGGTCGTGGCGCTACCGCACACCCACACTTTCAAAACAAGCAACGCGGTGCTTGGCGGAGGCGTTTTTTTTCGTCGTAGACTTGTCTCGGACGTGAAAAAATCGATCGGGGTGGTTGTCTGGTAGAGAGCCCACAGAGGCAGAGAGCCCGCGCGCGCGCTGGGGAAAATATGTTGGGGATGGCTTTATAACTGTGTCCATGCAAGACTCTGTTCAGCATTGGGTGAGCTTCGTGGGGTCAAGTGCCCCCAATCCGAGTGACATTTGAAGCGCGTTGCATTTGCGAGGAGTCTCCGAAATATCGGAAGCGGTGATCCTCCGCAGTTGAGACGAGCGCCGGAAGTACATGCTCCGCGACGAGACAGAGAGGGAAGATAATTCCTAACTCCACCCCTCTCAGTGACATGCTACCTTCCATCAGCGCCAACCGAAGAAGATTGCTCCAAAACAGCGAAACGCGTGTCAAAAGTCAAGCACTGCTGTTTTCTTCCAATATGCCGTGGCCTGGACCACCAGCGAACCCATACGCACGCGTATGATTACGGGCATCACACACGCGAACAATCTGCTGGGCGTGACCCTCCAAAATCCAATAACGCGGTCTCCTTGCAGTACACAGGGTTCCACTCAAATATTCAAGAGCGGTTGCCAAGCCCCCCATGCTCTCGCGTACGTGCGCCGTGCGGCATGTGCCATCAAAGGGAGAGAGCCCGCGAGATGCCAGCTGGGCATCGATCGACCACAACTAAAAAAAAAATAGTCGAGCAAAAGAGGTTCCGTACCGTAACGTATCTATATTACAGTAGTGCAGCCAAGGTTCACCACGTTTCACAAAGAGCGACCGCTCCACACAAATCGAGAGCGAGATAAGGAATCAATGGAGGATTCAGCCAGCCTACAGCAGTCTAAGTGCCTCGCTGAGACCTGCATGAGAGGGCTCCTTGAGCTGGACGGGTTTTGTGACGGTGGAACTTCAAATCAAAAGTGACGCTCCAATCAAAGCGAAAACAAGGCCGGTGCTGTACTCCTACAAAGACATGCCTGTTTGTACTGCATTGCAACTCCCGGGAAAGTGAAAAATCGAGCAGGACAACTCCCGGAGAATTCTACATTTTTTTCAAGTCCAACATCGCAACTAGCTGCCCTCGATTAGCTGCATGGGACGCATCTTCTCCAGTCCACCTCCTATGTTGAAGCAAAGAGATAAGTCACCACCTCCGTACACGCCCGCGGTAGATAACCACTTTTTCCTTCGTGAAAAAAACGAGACAGCATCGACGCACGCCAGATGATGGATGCCGATGGCCAAGAGAGAGAATAGATCGAGCCAAACCAACCAAGCCTTAGCCTAGGCGTCTAGGTCGTGGACGAAGAGCATGCCGGTGGGGTGCAGACCCGCCTCCTCCACGGAGAGGGCATCGTCGCCATCCTCCTGGCTGTACGTCCTTCGGGGGAAGTTGGTGCTCATGCTGAAGTTCTTGATGGGGATGTCGTTGTCCTCGAGGTGGAGGGTGACGAACCCTCGGATCTCTCCCACGGTGCCGTCCGCATCGAACCTACGGTCCACCTTTTGGGTTTGGATCGGTTTGGTTTGGGTGTTTTCGGAGGGGGGTGAGCACACCCCACCAGGAGAGTCGACACAGGGAGGGGGGCAAGCAGAAGGGATTGAGGGGGATGAGGGAAGGAGAGTGGGTTTGGTTTGGTTTGGGGGTGTTGAGAGGAGGTGAGCACACCCCATTAAGAGAGTCGACACAGGGGGGGGGCAGGCAGAACGGAGCGAGGGGGGGGGGGGGAGAGTGGCCGACCAAGTTCCGGCGTCAACGTATGGCCCAACTCAAGATAATTCTGGTCAACACACCGACACATTCCCCTGCGGGATATATGCAGAGGCGAAGCTTCTCGAGGTAACAATCATCTTGACACGTTCAACACACCAGAAAATGTAGGTGTACGAACTACACGGGCCACATTTGCAAAAGGCCCGACGTTCGTCCACCAACGACGACGACAGTATCATAGTGTGTCGGTGGCAGCCACGTAAAGCCGACTCACTCCTGCTTGTCTTTCGAAACAACCTACTGCGACGCGTGCAAAAATCCTTTACGGTTCCCTACTCTAATGAGCGACAACAAGCCGATACCGTCCACTCAAGGTGCTGACTGCCGTCGGCTATCTCTACCTTGGACCCGTTGGGGAGTTGCAGCCTGATCCTAGTCGTCTTCCCCCCGGCTGGGGGCTCGTCTCTCACGCGCTTGCGGAGGTCCTCCAGGCGCTCGATGCGGAGCTGCACAAACACCAGCGACAAGAGCAACAAGCAAAACGATACGACCACAACGCCCAGGGGCGGGCAGCCAAGCGGTAGCAGCGGTCAAGCAGTAGGTGGTACAACAAAAAATGGTTGAATCTGTAATCCAAGCGTGTTCAACTAGAACACTCCAGTACACAAGAATGGCAAAGCTCGAAACCAGAACCATGCAGCGCCGAGAGTGAGCGCGATAGCCTTGCGGATTCGGTTTCAAGCGCTTGGGCTGTTGTAGAAAAGTAAACAGTGGCGCGAGCAACCCCCTCCAATCCGCCGCCTCCTTCGAAATTCTGAACACCCCGTCCGCCCCCACGCCTCCGCTTCCTAGGAAAACCCACAGGTGTTGGTGGTGTGTCTTATGCCACCAGCAATGGTGATGCACACGACGTAACCAAGGGGTAACGTTTCCTTTTGCGAAATGCTTGTTGCGCTGCTACCTGCTCTTCCCTGGCGAGCTTCGCGGCCTCCTCCTCAGCAAGAGCGCGTGCTTCCTCGGCTGCCCGCTCCTACGATTGCGTTGTGTGCGTAGAGATAGACATATGCATCCACACACAGAGAGGAAACGAAGAAACGAGTAAACAAAAGAAGGGAAGGCCGTGGTGAGGGATTGGGAGATAGGCACGCACGAGAGAAAACAATCCGGGGTGACGAATCAAGGGGTGGTACTTTCCAGCAAGAACACAAAGACACGTTACCGGTCATTGCTTGGCTGAGGGAGTAAGCGACAAAAAATGGAAGAAAGTAAATTGGGCCTCAACCAAACAAATCAAGCACAGCAATACGCCGGGGGCCGGGGGCTGGACTTGTCAGCTGGCTCTATTTGTACCTTGGCACGGCGCTCCTCTTGCTGCGCCTCGCTCCGTCTGCGGTCCGCCTCTAACCCCTTCTTGTAGTCGTTGTCCTGAGCAGCAGTACATAGCAGCGACCACAGCGGCAGCAGTAACACAACGGCAGGTGAGAGCAGCGACTAGAAAACGTTTCGGTACTGCGTAGCCGCGCTTGGTACACACAAATGGATGGTGCTGCTTAGGCACCTCGTGCGGCAGAAAATAATCACAAAAGAGGCGGTAAGAAGACCCTGAGGTACAGCAGTAGCGCCAAATCAAGGCATTGCCAAACGTATATACCCTTAGACTGGCACCAGGAATAGATGGGGGGGACGAAAGCACACACACGCAACACATCCGTGCACCTCTCTGCGGACCACGTGCTGGCCTTTCCCCACCAAGCTATCAACACCATCGCACCCGCACCACTAAACCAATACTGCTGTACCTCGTACGAGCCTGCCTAGTCTCGCGGGAAGGAAAACAACGATCTTGCACAAGCCGCAGAAACAACAACAACAGCAGCAGCAGCAGCAGCAGCAACAACTTCAAGGGCTGTGCCGTGCAGCTGGCGCCCCGCACCTGCTCCTCCCTCAGCCTTCGCGCCTCCTCCCTCTCTCTCTGCTGCCTGTGGATTCGGTCCAGCTGCTCCTGGAAGCGCGCCATGGCCGAGGTCAGCCTGTCCAGCAACGCCTCCGTATTCTCCGCACCCTCCACCCGCTCCACAACCTGCATGCCCATCATCAGACAACCATGCATACATGGGATCGATTTACTGTATGCTACGGCACAGGCTCCCGGTAGACACGTTGCCCCCAGGTGGTCTTGCAACACGAGAGAGTGCAAGATGCGCGCGAACGCTTTCTTTCGCCAACAACCCAGTGGCCCAGGGATGTGTGTGGCTCCAAAGGCGAAGTAATCCCTCGGGTAAAAGGAATTGGACCGTGGAAGAATATGGCTAATCCAAGGCATGTCCGATTGGGTCAACGACTACTGTGTAGACGATTTCGTGGCGATGTACGACTCGTTGTAAGAAAACAGCTCACCAAACAAATGCCGGGGTGGATATCGCAATTGAAAAAAAAAAAGCAACACCGCGTATAATACGTTGCACGAGATCCTCGTGGGATGTGGGACGTGTCCAAGGTGTCTCTTTCGGTCTTCTCGTAGATACGTTCTCCACAAAAGCAGCTTCACAGCATCCTTCTGGTACTTTCGTTCTGGGTACCGAACCCGCCCGTGCTGCGGGCACAATCGCGTGGAAAAACATAAAAGAACAGAAAAACACGCCCACCAGGGAAGCGCGAGGGATAGCAAAAATAGAAAAATAGTACTAGCGCGCACTATCACCTGTGCTTGGTTCCTGCTTTCATAGGTGGGACCAAAAAAAAAATCCGCGTCTCCTTGTTGTTGTCTTCGCGTCATAGAACCTCCTATGCATAGGGAATGCACGATATGACAAGAAAAAAATCTCACCTGTACTTGGTTCTGCTTGCACAGGAGCAGCCCCACGTAGGGGAAGGCGCAGGCATCGAGGGCGTTCCCGACGGCGTAGGCCTCTCCGTGCATCAACGACCCGCCCCACACGAGCACGTTGTGCTCCATGAAGTCCACCATGGGTTCGGAGCACAGCGTCGACCTTTCGTCCACCGGACGGGGGGAGGTCGGGAGAGGTGCGGGGGTGAGAGAGAGAGAGAGGGAGAGAGGGAGGGACGGGGCCTGGCGTGTACTTGGAAAAAAAAAAATCTCGTGATGTCATTCTAGGATTCAAGATAGACAAAAACAAAGAAGCAAGAAGAGCGTGGCAACTTCACAACGAGCTGTCGAGCACAGCAAATTATGAGCAAAGAAGAAAAAGAAACGCGAATATCATGAGGTGCTCCCTCTTTCGCTCTGTTTAGGGACATTTTTCAAACCGTCATCAACACCAAAGAGGCGAAAATCGTGCCGTGACCGCTGAAGTAAAAGCTTCTCCTTTGCTTGCTTGCTCCAGGCTCAGCGCGTGACTTAGTGGAAAGGTGAGCTTTCTCGGGGTAAACAGATAGACAGGGTATGCTACTACTAACAGTGCCGCAAACGACAGCAACAACACAAGAAGAGAGACTACGCCGGCAAAAACGACAACTCCCACGCCACCTAGCTCGCGCGATGCCCCCTGCTCGGTTGCTTTCTACTCTTGGCGGGGGGGGGGGGGGGGGGGGGGGGGG